AGCTTGGGCAGGAAGTGGGCAGCGGGTCGGTGCCGCTTCACCCGGTTGCCCTCCATGAACCTTCCATCTTTTCTCAGACCCAAGTACCATCCACGGCCAGAGCTGCGCTGACGGTAAAGCGTGGATGAGTAGGTGACAAAGTAATTGTCGAAGACGCTCTCCTTGAAGCGACACTCCGCTGTAAACTGAAGCTGCAGGAAATAACGGGGGAGGGGGTGACAGGTTAGTTACGGCCAGGCGTTCAGAACAGTTTATGTATTTCCAGTAAGAATTCCACATTATTATTTTAGGTTTGACATTAAAGATGAACCCTTCCCACAATGGTGAGATTTCCTCCCAGTAGTTTGTGTCTCTGCTCCTCCCACAATGGTGAGATTTCCTCCCAGTAGTTTGTGTCTCTGCTCCTCCCACAATGGTGAGATTTCCTCCCAGTAGTTTGTGTCTCTGCTCCTCCCACAATGGTGAGATTTCCTCCCAGTAGTTTGTGTCTCTGCTCCTCCCACAATGGTGAGATTTCCTCCCAGTAGTTTGTGTCTCTGCTCCTCCCACAATGGTGAGATTTCCTCCCAGTAGTTTGTGTCTCTGCTCCTCCCACAATGGTGAGATTTCCTCCCAGTAGTTTGTGTCTCTGCTCCTCCCACAATGGTGAGATTTCCTCCCAGTAGTTTGTGTCTCTGCTCCTCCCACAATGGTGAGATTTCCTCCCAGTAGTTTGTGTCTCTGCTCCTCCCACAATGGTGAGATTTCCTCCCAGTAGTTTGTGTCTCTGCTCCTCCCACAATGGTGAGATTTCCTCCCAGTAGTTTGTGTCTCTGCTCCTCCCACAATGGTGAGATTTCCTCCCAGTAGTTTGTGTCTCTGCTCCTCCCACAATGGTGAGATTTCCTCCCAGTAGTTTGTGTCTCTGCTCCTCCCACAATGGTGAGATTTCCTCCCAGTAGTTTGTGTCTCTGCTCCTCCCACAATGGTGAGATTTCCTCCCAGTAGTTTGTGTCTCTGCTCCTCCCACAATGGTGAGATTTCCTCCCAGTAGTTTGTGTCTCTGCTCCTCCCACAATGGTGAGATTTCCTCCCAGTAGTTTGTGTCTCTGCTCCTCCCACAATGGTGAGATTTCCTCCCAGTAGTTTGTGTCTCTGCTCCTCCCACAATGGTGAGATTTCCTCCCAGTAGTTTGTGTCTCTGCTCCTCCCACAATGGTGAGATTTCCTCCCAGTAGTTTGTGTCTCTGCTCCTCCCACAATGGTGAGATTTCCTCCCAGTAGTTTGTGTCTCTGCTCCTCCCACAATGGTGAGATTTCCTCCCAGTAGTTTGTGTCTCTGCTCCTCCCACAATGGTGAGATTTCCTCCCAGTAGTTTGTGTCTCTGCTCCTCCCACAATGGTGAGATTTCCTCCCAGTAGTTTGTGTCTCTGCTCCTCCCACAATGGTGAGATTTCCTCCCAGTAGTTTGTGTCTCTGCTCCTCCCACAATGGTGAGATTTCCTCCCAGTAGTTTGTGTCTCTGCTCCTCCCACAATGGTGAGATTTCCTCCCAGTAGTTTGTGTCTCTGCTCCTCCCACAATGGTGAGATTTCCTCCCAGTAGTTTGTGTCTCTGCTCCTCCCACAATGGTGAGATTTCCTCCCAGTAGTTTGTGTCTCTGCTCCTCCCACAATGGTGAGATTTCCTCCCAGTAGTTTGTGTCTCTGCTCCTCCCACAATGGTGAGATTTCCTCCCAGTAGTTTGTGTCTCTGCTCCTCCCACAATGGTGAGATTTCCTCCCAGTAGTTTGTGTCTCTGCTCCTCCCACAATGGTGAGATTTCCTCCCAGTAGTTTGTGTCTCTGCTCCTCCCACAATGGTGAGATTTCCTCCCAGTAGTTTGTGTCTCTGCTCCTCCCACAATGGTGAGATTTCCTCCCAGTAGTTTGTGTCTCTGCTCCTCCCACAATGGTGAGATTTCCTCCCAGTAGTTTGTGTCTCTGCTCCTCCCACAATGGTGAGATTTCCTCCCAGTAGTTTGTGTCTCTGCTCCTCCCACAATGGTGAGATTTCCTCCCAGTAGTTTGTGTCTCTGCTCCTCCCACAATGGTGAGATTTCCTCCCAGTAGTTTGTGTCTCTGCTCCTCCCACAATGGTGAGATTTCCTCCCAGTAGTTTGTGTCTCTGCTCCTCCCACAATGGTGAGATTTCCTCCCAGTAGTTTGTGTCTCTGCTCCTCCCACAATGGTGAGATTTCCTCCCAGTAGTTTGTGTCTCTGCTCCTCCCACAATGGTGAGATTTCCTCCCAGTAGTTTGTGTCTCTGCTCCTCCCACAATGGTGAGATTTCCTCCCAGTAGTTTGTGTCTCTGCTCCTCCCACAATGGTGAGATTTCCTCCCAGTAGTTTGTGTCTCTGCTCCTCCCACAATGGTGAGATTTCCTCCCAGTAGTTTGTGTCTCTGCTCCTCCCACAATGGTGAGATTTCCTCCCAGTAGTTTGTGTCTCTGCTCCTCCCACAATGGTGAGATTTCCTCCCAGTAGTTTGTGTCTCTGCTCCTCCCACAATGGTGAGATTTCCTCCCAGTAGTTTGTGTCTCTGCTCCTCCCACAATGGTGAGATTTCCTCCCAGTAGTTTGTGTCTCTGCTCCTCCCACAATGGTGAGATTTCCTCCCAGTAGTTTGTGTCTCTGCTCCTCCCACAATGGTGAGATTTCCTCCCAGTAGTTTGTGTCTCTGCTCCTCCCACAATGGTGAGATTTCCTCCCAGTAGTTTGTGTCTCTGCTCCTCCCACAATGGTGAGATTTCCTCCCAGTAGTTTGTGTCTCTGCCCCTCCCACAATGGTGAGCTCTCTCAGCAATAGTTTGTTTCTCCCAGGAGCTGCCGGATCTTCTCTGTGACTATCTGTGGATTTTCTTGTCCACGTTCCCGTCTCCTGCGGACATCTAGTATACAAGTACTGAGCAGCTCCTTTACCATTCAGTTTCCTCTCAAGAAGCCCCGAGGGGTATCTGAAGAACCTTGGAGTGTTGGCTCCTGAGATTGGCGTCTCCATAGGTGAAGACGGGAATCCTAATCTTTTACTGCCTGGAAATCTATTAGAAGTTCAAACTCAGAAGATTCTCACCGATCCGTAGAGGCAACCCTCAGAATTCATGGCGATGTACTGACCGCAGGCCGAGCCCTGGATGGCCACCACCCGAAGACCCACTGGGATGACGTTGAAGAGAGCTGTGAGAACAGAAGAGAACAAAGGTTACGGAAAGAGGAGGAGCTACAAACTAAGATCCAAAATGACCACTGGAGGCAAAATGGCACACTTCACCTTTTTGCAGGACTCCGGGACAACCTCTTCCCTGATAACGGTCACCTTATTCTTAGTGATGTCATATCCAGTGGCACGGTATGCCCAGTCCTGCCCATCACAGTGTCTATTCTCCAATGAGAGCCCAGGATACAGCCTCACAAGGACAATCTTACCCGGGGCATCCTCTGCTCTTCTCTGCCATACTTACATTCTGAGCTGGACCCCCCATGTGTTCCTTCATAATGCCCTCCATTGTTAGTCCCTACCAATGCACCTCCATCCTGACCCTTGTGACCCTCCGACTGTCAGGATGCTCCTTTCACTGGGTACAGGAGCTGCCATGTGAACCCTCCCAAAGCCTGCTGGGTCAGGAATGAGAAGAAACGTGCAGACTTTAGCACGCCCGATCACCACACCTATATGAGCTTCTCAGACATCCCAATCCCAAAGGACTTTCACATGGAGTTGCCCCCTACCACGTGGCTATAACGGCCTCCAGTCCTCTGGAATGCTCTCCATGAAATGTTGCTGTCTGTCCTCCTTTGTGAGGTCAGGTCCTGATGTTGGATGAGAAGATCTGGCTCATAATCAGGGTTCCAATTCATCCTAAAGGTGATCAGTAGGGTTGAGGTCGGGGCTCTGTGTAGGACACTTGAGTTCCTCCTCCACGCTGGTCACATCCGTGTCTGTATGGAGCTGGCGTTGTACACAGGGGACTTAGGCATAATAGAACAGGAAAGGGCCTTCCCCAATTTGCTGCAACAATGTTGAAGCCAAAAGTAATTTTTCTCTCAATGAGATAGAGAGAGAGAGAGACAGAGAGAGAGGAGGGGGACAGGGAGAGAGAGAGAAGGAGAGAGAGAGAGAGAGAGACAGAGAGAGAGAGAGAGAGAGAGAGAGAGAGAAGAGGGGGGGGACAGGGAGAGAGAGAGAGA